CCCACGACAACGCATCATTTTTTTTCTTTAGATTTAAAAACCGAGCAGTTACATGCTTAAAATTTTTAAATTATAACCCTACCTACATGACTTTTTGTCAATGTGTACACAGTATTCTTATTACACTACAAAATGATGCACTACCTAATAGAAATACTAATATATTATCACATTTCATACTATCGAAAGCATTACGAAATAATAAAAAAATCTCGCTCGGTATTTTACTTCAACGATTTTGTATTTTCAAGCACATCAATAATATCTTAATATATATAAATCTCGTGTCACAATGTTTGTCCTCAATGGACTCCTAAACCACTTAACCGATTATAATAAAATTCGCACACCATGTGCAGTTCGATCCAACTTGAGAGATAGGATAGTTTAAATCTCAAATTATAGTCGCAATTTTAATTTATTGCAAATTATTACTTTTGGGCGGTACGAAGTTCGCCGAGTCAGCTAGTCTATATAAATAAAACTCAAAGGTGACTGACTGACATAGTGATCTATCAACGCACAGCCCAAACCACTAGACGGATCGGGCTGAAATTTGGCATGCAGGTAGATGTTATGACGTAGGCATCTGCTAAGAAAGGATTTTGATCAATTCTACCCGCAAGGGGATAAAATAGGGAATGAAAGTTTGTATGAAACTTTGTCGATTTTAAACGGATCGGGCTGAGACTTTGCATGCTATTTTTCTTCGTCCTTGCTCCTTCCCACTTTATATGGGGTCGGCTCTCCTAAGGGTTGTCGGTTCGGGTAATTTTTCAGCTGTCATTAGCTTCGTCATGCTGGTCCACCAAGTGGCGTGAAGGCGCCCTCTGCCTCTTTTATGTTCAGGAAGCAATAAAGCCTTTCTGACCACATGTTCCTCGTCTCGTCGCATTACGTGACCATACCACCGCAGACGGCTCTCTATAAGTTTTTCAGATATGGGAGCAACTTTGAAACTACCCAGAATATCCTCGTTTCGGACTCGGTCTAATCTTGTGACTCCGCCAGACCACCTCAACATTTTCATTTCAGTGGTATGGAGTTTCTGCAAATGAGTTTTCTTTACTGGCCAACATTCCGCTCCGTACAATATTGCCGGTCTCACTGCCGTCTTATAGACTTTGCCTTTGGTGCGTACAGGCATGCGGGGGTCACATAAAACTCCTGTTAGAGATCTCCACTTTTGCCAAGCTACACTTACTCTATGCGCCACATCTGCCTCTATTTCTCCATTTCCGGAAACAACTGAGCCTAGGTATTTAAATTGTGTTATTTTCGGTACGGGCGTGTTATCAGGATAGTGGATTGCTGTTGGGTGGCTATCATTATTAAAAAGGCATTCCAAGTGCTCCGTCTTAGATCGACTGACCCTGAGGCCCATTGTTTCCAGGGCCTCAATCCAAGACGTTAAATTTGCTTGAAGTCCTGTTACTGTGTTGTTAATAAGAGCAATATCATCTGCATACAAAATGTTCCAAGGCAAAGGCGCCTGCACGCGTTCAATTGCGAAGTCCATGACCAAGTTAAAAGGTAGGGGGCTCAGGGCTGAGCCCTGATGAACTCCCACCTTCACCTCGAATTCTTCACTCAAACCGGCAGCGCTTCTGACTCTTGTCCTCACGTTACTGTACATATCCTGTACCAAATGCACGTAAATGTCAGGCAAATATTGTGCTCTCAAAGCTTGCCACACCAATCCACACGGAACCCTATCAAATGCCTTCTCAAGGTCGATCAATACCGCCTTGGGAGTGCGGCGAGGTTATGTGGGACTCCTCCCCTCCTCCTCTCACACACCCACCCAACCAGTCCAAGGGCTGGCTCGGCGGCTACTCGAGAGGAAGGGGGCCCTACCCACTAAAAACCTGACGATGCCCCTCATCTTACCGATGGGCCGTTGCCTCGCCGGGAACGGGATCCACCATCAGGCGGTACCCCCCTCGACGAGGCAGCGGCACTGTGTGAGGCCATGGGAGCCCTTACGGATACATCCACAACCCCACCAATGAGTGTCCGATTCGAACGGACCCACCCATCTATCTGCGAAGGCCTGTGCAATGCAGGGCCCGGACCTCCCAAGTCTGGACCCCGCTTGCCTCCGTCAGTGAGAGCTAGAAGCCGGTCATATTGCCTTCTCCTAGTCCCCACCCTCCGACGATGACGGAGAGAATCCACGTGGGCTTGTTCCACGCGGACCCTCTCCGCCGCCTCCTTCTGCGAGATGACAAACTCGCAGAAGGTGACCAACGCCCGCCAGGATCTGTCGCTTCCTAGCATAGCTTGCACTATGCCAGGCAGGGAGAGATCCTCCCCCACTGCCGCCACCAGAGTACGACGCTGCCGCGACCACGTCGGACATTCCTCTAGGGTATATCCCGCAGTGTCCACAGCAGCCCCGCACTCATGGCACGACTCGGTCGCCTCTCTCTGAATCCGATGCAGATACTTCCCGAAACACCCGTGCCCGGAAAGTACCTGCACCAGCCGAAAGGTAAGCGACCCCATCCTCTTGTCATCCAGTTCTCAAGTACAGGACGTAACGCTTGCAGCGTCCTTACTCCCGCCGTGGACGTATCTATCTGCTGTAGCCATAGCTCTAGCAGGCGCTCACTTGCCTCGCGCCTTGCCTGCGCTAGCTCCTCGGGTGCTAGTCTATCCCCACGCTTCCTCGCCTCTACCTTACCTCGGTGCACCTCCGAGAGTACCAGGGCGTCCAAATGCCACGGTGGCGTTCCTGCAATCGCATGCGGCCGCCCACGATATGGTCCTGTAGCCTCGTATGTCTCTGATGGTTCTGACCTTCTGGGGTTTACGGAGGATATCTCTGTACTCCTTGTTTAAACCTACCGCCCAGACGGGTGCCCCGTACAGAGCCATACATCTTATCACCCCCATGTACAGTCTTCGACATGTATTGTTGGGGCCTCCTATATTTGGCATGAGCTTATTCATTGCAGCCGCTGCGTTGACTAGTCTGGGAGCTAGCTGTCGAAAGTGTTCTTTGAAAGTCCATCTGCCATCCAATACCAACCCTAGGTACTTCATATGTTGTTTTATCGGAACCCTCAACTCGTCCATCACAACAGATGTCCCCTCAGGTGGTTTGCCCCCCCGACCGTGAAAAAGAATCATCTGTCTTGTTTACCGCGACCCTTAGTCCTATATGTCTGATTCGACCTATCACTAAATGTGCACCCACCCTTCATGATGATACCTAACTTTAAACCTTGGTCCTAAATACCTGATACCTAACTTTCGTTTTTTGAGAATTCCTATGAAACCTAACATTTCTCTGGGATTTATAGGTAAAGTGTGCTGCATGCTTCAATCCAGGTATTAAAACAAGTGTGTCAAATTTCATCCAAATTCGTTCAGCCATTTTTGCGTGATTGTATAACATTTTTTTTATAGATAGGTCCGAAAAATGACTCCACCCCACCTGATGTTAAGTGACGGTGAAGTCCAGACATGAAGATAGCTGATACAGCAGTTCTACCTGCCACACCAGCCATCCTCAATATACAAACTTTGTCATACTGGTGGATCCACAATCAATAGTGTGCGGCTTGCTTAAATCCAGGTATTAAACTATACTAGCAAACCAGTGAACCAAATGTTCACCAAAACCTGATTTCTCGAAAACCGGAAGTGCTGCGTTACTCAAATCCGGTTTGTAGTCTTATCAGACTATTCTTAACTTATAACTTAAATATTCTCTTACGGTTTGGCCGCTGAAACAGCACCACAGACAGACGGACGGCTTGTCTAATAGATAAGAGATGTGTGTCAAAATTATATTAGCCGTTCTTGCGTGATTGCGCAACGAACATGAAAACTTTGTCACACTGGTTGGTCCACAAGTTATAGTGTTACTCTTCTTTTCACCCCTTTGAAGGATGATCTCTGGGATAAAAATTATCCTTCATCCTTCCCTGGCACTCTACCTATACCCAATTTTCATCTAAATCGGTTCAACGGCTGGTTGACAACTACTTAAGTTTCACGTAGACCACGAGTGGACGTCGCGCGGCGAGGCGGTGCCGTGTGGCTCTAATGAGCTGGGACCTGTAAGTGTGATCTAAAGAGGCAACAGACAGACAGCTACACTTTCTTATTTATAATATTAGTATCGATTAATCAACCTCCGTGGTCGAGTGGTTGGTACGCCGGGTTTCATGGTGTCGCCGACTCGAGAGGTCCCGGGTTTGAATCCCGGTGGGGGCAGATGTTTGTGTGATGAATACGAGCATTTGTACTCCAGTCATGGATGTTAAATATGTATTTCTATATAAATATACTTATATGTGTACAGTTTATGTATTCTATCCGTTACCCTAGTATCCCATAACACAAGCCTTACAGTGCTTACTTTAGGGCTAGGCTAATTGGTGTGGTGTAGACTCGAACCCGCACCCGCTATCCGGGCGAATGCACAGACCATTATGCTACCACGGCCCTATTCGCTGTGTCGAAATTTTCCTAGCCTTAAGCTGCAAGGCAGCGCCATCTCTTCGCATTGTAGGTAACCCACAATGTGGGTTGAATACAAATGAATACTTTTTCAAGTATAAAACATTTCTTTAGATTTAAACATCTAGCAGTTAAATGCTTAAAAATAAATAAAAACATAATATTTATTTATTTATTAATTTCCATCTCATAATTTTGTGACTATACGTGGTTAGTTAGTTTCTTACGAGAAGTAATGAAATAGAGTCTTGATCATTTCTTCTCGCTAAGAGGTGACTAATTATTTCTCTACGTCAATACTGTGTTTGTACTACAATCATTGGTGTCGATTCTAGAGTGATTCTCTAAACTTAAAACTAAATTTAACATCAGTCTCTCCTTTTCATTCTGTATAGAGAATGGCAAGGATGCACTGTTGTCAAATTTAAGTTTAGATTTAGAGAATCATGCCAGAATTGACACCATTGTATACATAAGCTAAAACCGTTTATATATATATGTCTGAAGGAAATCTGCGTTGCGTCGGATGAGTTTGTTGGTTCAGTACAGTTCAGTAGTGGTATGGTGTTGTGGCGGCCGGTCGTGTCTGTCGCTCGAACGTTGTGTATACGGACGGACGTTAAATAAATGAGTTTGTTGTTTATTTGTTGTTGCAAGCACGGGATCAACGTTTGAAGTTAACGCAAAAAATGTAAGTTTATAAAAGGATGCTTGGAATATTGGTTGGTTTTTCTAATTAACTTGGTGGTGTCTGGAATTATTGTTCGATTTTGAAACATTTCTCAAATTTAGCTTTCGAACCCTTTTGAAATTTAGAATTTTGTGTACAAATGATGTCAGATGTTTCTTTTTCTATTTGTTTTTGAAAGATTTTATTTTTGAATTCTCTGTTTAGGGTCTCGTCTCAAAATAGATATGTTTATTTGTTTCTTACATAGAACAATGACAACTAGAAGTAATTACAAATATAAATATCTAACTATATTTGGCTTTATTATAAATATATTTTTTATTTAAGAATTTAACTTATGACAGAAATCTATACTGTTGTCAAACCATTATTTTCTATGTGCCCTTATTAGAGATTTCGACATTTTCATAATTATGACTAGTATACTTCCTTTACTAGTAGGTATATCATTATGATGACCTCCGTGGCCGAGTGGTTTCAACGCCGGGTTTCATGGTGTCGCCGACTCGAGAGGTCCCGGGTTCGAATCCCGGTGGGGGCAGATGTTTGTGTGATGAATACGAGCATTTGCACTCCAGTCATTAATGTTTAATATGTATTTCTATATAAATATATTTCTATATGTATTCTATCCGTTACCCTAGCATCCCATAACACATGCCTTACAGTGCTTACTTTGGGGCTAGGCTAATTGGTGTGAGTGTTGGGAATATTTATTTATTTTTACTTTAGTATACTAACCAATTTTCAAATAAGACGGCTATGCGAAACTTTAGCGTTTTAATGGTGAACAGAGGTTGCTTAAAAATATGCTATGTATTGTACATCAGCCAGAATATTGGCACGGACGGGACTCGAACGAGCATCCTTCGCTATCCGGGCGAATGCACTGACCATTATGCGACGCGGCTAATAAGGCCGTGTAGCATAATGGTCAGTGCATTAGCCCGGATTGCGAAGGATGCGGGTTCGAGTCCCGTCCGCTGCCTGGTCCGCGTGGATTTTTTTCTAGTAATCTTTTCTTAAGATTTAAACATCTAGCAGTTAAATGCTTAAAAATAAATAAAATCATAATCATTAATCAACTTTATCCAATGTAATTACATTATTTTATTAGATCGATTGCTCTTAAACTTGACGTAATGTCTTATCCTATTGTAATAGTAAAGAACGGGAAATCATTTTCTTAGTACTTATTAGTTTCTTTATACTAGCCCTTTCGAAATTAACCATCTTTAATTCTTTGAACTAATTAGTAATCTTCTATAATATCTCTTATCTATTAGACAAGTCCGTCCGTCCGTCTGTCTGTGGTGCAGTTTCAGCGGCCAAACCGTAAGAGATAGATAAAGAGAATGCTTAAGTTATAAGTTAAGAATAGTCTGATAAGACTACAAGCCGGATTTGAGTAACGTAACACTTCCGGTTTTCGAGAAATCACGAATTTCAAACGAAACCACACAAAATCTCCGAAGTTCTCAATTAATTAAATACATTTTTTTTCTTTTCTTTTTTTTTTTAATTGGTGAACATTTGGTTCACTGGTTTGCTAGTAAACATGAATCGCTGAATGTGTTACTAAGCGCAAATCTCGAGAACAGCTGAACCGATTTCGATATTTTTTTTTAGAATATTCCTCGAAGTACGAGGATGGTTCTTACGCAGAGAAAAATAAAAAAAAAATGCCTGAAAATGTCCAAAACAACACTTTTCTATACTCCCATACAAACGATTCGTAATAATACTCAAAACTCAATTTGAACTTTAATACCATACCATAAATTCCAAATGTTAGTGGAGAGGTTCCGAGATGGCAAAACAATTGAATGACGTGATGTCAATAGAAGTTTTGAAAAGGCAAATATACCATTTTCAGTTTTTTTATAATTACTTATATGAAGAGTCATTTAAATCTATACTACAGCTCTACACCGAAGCGAAGCGAGGGCGGGCCACTAGTTAATTATATAATTATGAGGATGACATTGCTATATGACAATAGGCTAGTTGACCCTTTTTGGAAAAAGGTTTTAAATAGTTAATAAATGTTCTATTAGACCGAAAAAAAATGTTTTGTATTTTTTTGAGACCTCTAGCTTTCTAAAGCTACAAATCTTTAATTTTAAAATAGAATTTTCATGGACATACAAAAACGCTGTCGGCCATTTTAGTCTATAGATTGTCTATGCTATGATGTCAACTGTAGTAAACAAAAACTCGTAAGCACGTAGAAAATAACTTATCCGAGTTTATAACAAAAAGAACATGATTTCTAATAAATACCACGAAAAATAAAGTAATCATCATTATTGTATTGTACGAGAATATAAAACCACATACTTGAAGACTCCAGGAATGTTGTGGATTAAAGTGCCGAAAGAAATTAACCTACGCAACTTTATTACACTTATTCATATGTTGTATCAGTTTTATGTTTATTACTACATTGTAATACTAAATGCACTGTACTTACATAGATGCCTTGTCGTTTCTCTGCTCCGCAGAGCAGAAATCGGGGTTTAATGCAAAAAATTCAGATTTGTGCTTTCTGCTTTCACAAAGCAGGCATCCATAATTAGTTTTGTCAAAAAAAAAAAACAGTAAACGGAAACTTTTCTAAAGGTAAAAGTGTTTTAAGATAAATTTATTCAGACTAAAGAATCCACCCACAATAACACGCGAATGACATATTTAGTTGTTTACTGAAAGAGACGTCACAATCATGGTGGATGTGGCGAACAGCGTTTTTAGTGTTTAAAAAATATAGACTAAAAAATTTTTTTTTAAATTAAATTTCTACAGCAATCTTCTGCTGTTATGAAGTGAAATCGATATATTTAGGTTCCTTAGACCAAATACTGTAAGAAATAAACATTTATTTAATACAATTCGACATGAGTCAACTAGCCTATTATGCTCGTATTTCAGAATGACAACTAAGTATTAATCTATACTTGAGTACAGTTAGAAAGGGATGTCCCTATGTGCTATATATAGCATAAATAGTATTATCCTTTTCTGACTACGCTCAAGACTAGATTAATTACTGAGAATCTTTCTATTCTATACTACGGGCCTTAGGTTTTAGTTAAATCATGAAAAAAAGAACTATTATGAGATGAAGAAGCAAGTAATTTTACATTACTTACAATCATGAAAGAAAAAATCTTACAAAGAAATGAAGAGTTCCTATGTAGGTACAAAATCTATGTACCCAAGTGTTCAATAAAAAAATATATACTTAACTGAAAACATTCTTGAATTTTATTTACTTTTTTTGAATATACTACGTCTACGAAAGATTATCACTTTAAATAAAGATTTCGATCGAATGAAGCTAAGAAAAAAATACAGTACATAGCGAGTCGGTTTTACTAACTTCGGATTCCGTACAAAGAACAATGGGTAATTTTGTATGGAACCCGTACCCACCTTGTAGCATTATAGACTAGGTGTCATTTAAAAGACGCATAATTAACTAGCTCAAAAATTAATGAACGAATGAATGAATGAATGGGAGACCGAAGATATGACTACTTCTTTATTACATTTTTAATAGTCAAGTGTCATAACAATTTGACTTTTTTCTTTGTTATAAGTAAAAAAAAAACATTTTTTTTCTGTCTAAAGACCAGCTTAGCTTCCTATCGTTCGTTTTTGGTACGGGAAAAAATATTAAATAAAACCATCAATCTTAAAAAAACACAGTTTTATTAACACAAACATAGCAAAAACGTTATTGACGTGACAACGTCTTAAATTAGGTTGCGGCTGGGAGTCACTTATGAAAAAGTGTAACGCTCGGTAACGTTACGATGAGTCTCTCGTGTTAAGTTTAAGTTTACATGTACAATGTTTTAGTAAACAAAATATATTTCTATAGTTAAAATTTGTGCAATTCTTATTTTCATTCAATTCCTTGTTCCTATTGTGCAATTTAATTATATTCATATCAATAAATATTCTACCGAGAAAAAGACGTTGTCACGTAAAATCTTCGCCCGTAAAACCGACTTTACAGGCAACCATTTTTTTTTAAATTGTGTTGTTACTTTCAATGATTATATCATCCCAAGCGCTTGCCGGACCTACGAAATTATCTAGGTGTAAGCGCATAAACTATTTCCGAAACTTTGAAATTAAAAAATCTCTCTTTTAAAAGTTTGTGCCAATGAAGCCCTTACAAAAGATAACCCACATAACACCTTTCCTTTCCTTGCATGAACAGCATAATTCTTTATTTTATTTAATTAAAAATACATAGCTTTAGGATTTTTAGAAATGTAAGATAAGATATGATCACGACGTATGGACGTAATGTCTTATCCTATTATTACATACACGCACTCACCACATGCAAGCTTACATACACACACACACACACACACGCACACGCACACGCACAAACACACATTAACAGACAGCCACGCAGACACACCTACGCACAAACATACACACACTCAAACACCCGCGTAGATACACACAACTTGGTTATTTATTAGCGTTAAATCTCTTATCTATTAGACAAGCCCGTCCGTCCGTCCGTGGTGCTGTTTCAGCGGCCAAACCGTAAGAGATAGATAAAGAGAATATTTAAGTTATAAGTTAAGAATAGTCTGATAAGACTACAAACCGGATTTGAGTAACGTAGCACTTCCGGTTTCCGAGAAATCACGAATTTCAAACGAAACCACACAAAATCTCCGAAGTTCTCAATTAATTTTTTTTTTTGGTGAACATTTGGTTCACTGGTTTGCTAGTCTCTTATCTAATAGACAAGTCCGTCCGTCCGTGGTGCTGTTTCAGCGGCCAAACCGTAAGAGATAGATAAAGAGAATGTTTAAGTTATAAGTTAAGAATAGTCTGATAAGACTACAAACCGGATTTGAGTAACGTTTTCGAGAAATCACGTGATTTCTATTTCAAACGAAACCACACAAAATCTCCGAAGTTCTCAGTTAATTAAATACATTTTTTTTTGGTGAACATTTGGTTCACTG